CCTGAATGATGATGAGCGATATGAATCTTTGGTTCTGGCCCGAACAATGAAATTGATAGACGAGCTATTTGAGGCGCTAAAAGAATAAATGCAATACTAATCAAAAAGCAATGAGTTTAACTGTCAAAAGAAAATTACCTTTATATAATTTTAAATATTAAAAACTTGCAATTTAATTAGTTACTATAAATTTGGACCCTTTATTACAATATTTTTCAAGATTTGGGACTTACATGTCGGTATTTTCATTTTGGGCCCTTGTAATTATTTTCATTTTTCGTGCTCTTATATGCAATTTTTTCTAAATTTATTAATCCACGGAGTTTGACTCCGGAAGTCTTTAAATTTGATAGAAAGACAATAATAACAGTTGATTTTATAATGTATTAGGGTTGATGCAGAAAACAAAACTTACTAATGACGTATTATTTATTATTGAACTTGGACTATATTCAACCACAAATAACAAATTTATGGCCTAATGCTTACGTACTAAATTGTACATGTGGATATTTGCAAAGATTAATATAATAGAAACAAGTGCAGGAAAACGACTATGGTTTATATTATAACTAGCTATAAATAAGTCAAAATAGTTTCTACTGCAGTTTTAATACATACCGTAAGTTGTAAATGTGAATGGTATATAGACAGGCTCGGAATTAACTTAGATTAGAACAAAATAACTATGTTGTACGTCGGAATGGAATTTTGGTGGATTCCGGATCAACTTAGGTTGATTCCAGATAAACTTAAGTTGAAATGAAATTTTATATCCACTCAAATTGTTAAAGAATTACAATATAACTTAAAGTTGATTCTGAATTCACTTAACGCATATTCAATTTTGAAATTAAAAGCATTTGAATTCAATTTACATAACAGTGCATTGCAAAGCTACTTTTACATATACTCTAGTCATATACAGTATGCTAGTTACATTTATTATTACAAGCATGATTGCTGGGATGACAGCTACTTCCACAAGGAAACTTTGCCTTCTTATATTTGCAGTTATTTTATCACATTTACCCTTACAACTACATCAACTGTGCTTGTGAAGCTTCTCACACACTTATGACTTTCGAAGGAATATTATCTAATTTAGGGAATTGCTTAGGCCCCAAAGGAAGAATTTCTGTCACATTATATGCTATTTCAGGAACACCAGACTTGCATCCAATTCGATACATATTGTTTTCTAAAATATCGAGAACCTTGCATAGAAGTGTCATACGATCACTGTGTATTCAATCATATTCAAGAACCTTAATGTGAACAAAATCACTAATTTGATATTTATTCGTAAATTTTTTATTTTGTTTATTAAGTTGTGTCTTCATATTATCACGATATCTTTCAAAAGAATTTATAGCAACATTTCTATAAGTTTCATACAAAAATTTTTGCTACAAATTGTAAAAATTAAAATAATTTATATATATATTATTGTATAAATTTAAACTGTATATTTATTTAAACTGTATATTAAATACCTGATCTTTAATATTTGAAATAATATTATCATCATTATTTTGGGCACCAATGCTGGACATTTATTACTTTTTGAACTTTAAGATTTAAATTATTTTTTTGAAAGAACTTTGATTGAAGAATTAGAATCATCACTATCTTTTAAAAGAATTTCAGTTAATGAATTAAAATTATTATTATCATCAGTAGATACTGAACAAACAGGTTTTTCAGAAGATGCTTGTATTTCTAATTCATTGTTTGTAGAATTAGAATTATTGTCATCATTGGTTGATACTATATAAACAGGTTTTTTAAAAGAATCTTGAATTTTTAATTCCATGTTTGTGATTTCTAATTCCTATAATTAGTGTTCTGAAGTTCAGTTCAGTTCAATTTAGGTTCAGGTTCAAGTTCAATTGAACCTGAACTGAACTTTAAAT